TCAGCTTCCCAAGTGGCTGGGATTACAGGCACCTGCCCCCATGCCCAGCTAATTTTTTGTATTTTTAGTAGAGATGGGGGTTTCATCATGTTGGCCAGGCTGGTCTCAAACTCCTGACCTCAGGTGATCCACCTGCCTGGGCCTCCCAAAGTGTTAGGATTACAGGCGTGAGCCACCGCGACTGCCTATTCATTTTTGTATATGCAACCATTTAACAAATTTCATCTATTCTAGTAGTTTTTACTAGGATCTTCTGGGTCTAATAAATTGAAAAACCACAACCACAAGCAGTAGAAAGAATACAAAATCCATTAAAAAACAAAAAAAGCTAAGGCTCCTAGTTGATGTGAATGCTTCTTTTCTTAGGATGGTAGTTTGAATAACAAGGTTCCAGACCATTGGTTCCCAGATTTTGCTGTACCTTAGAATCACCTGGGAAGCATTTTTATTTATCTTTTTTTTTTTGAGACAGAGTCTCGCTCTGTTGCCCAGGCTGGAGTGCAGTGGCATGATGTCAGCTCACTCTGCCTCCTGCATCTTGCCTCAGTCTCCTGAGTGGCTGGGATTACAGGCATGTGCCACCAGGCCTGGCTAATTTTTGTATTTTAGTAGAGATAGGGTTCCTCCATGATGGCCAGGCTGGTCTCAAACTCCTGACCTCAGGTGATCTGCCTGCCTTGGCCTCCCAATGCTCTGGGATTACAGACTGGGAAGCTTTTAAAACTCCTGTAATTTAGGGTAGGAGCCAGGCAATAATGTTTTTAAAACATCCTCAGGTGATTCCAATTTGCAGCAAAGTTGGAAACTGTTCTAACCTAGCATTGAGAAAACTATAGCCCACAAGTCATATCCTGCATTTTTGTAAACAAAATTTTATGGAACGAAGCCATGCTCATTTGTTTACATATTGTGTTGCTGTTTTCACACTTCAACAGCAGAATGAGTGTTGTGAAAGAGACCATATGGCTCACAAAGCCTAAAATATTTAGTATCTAGCCTTTATGTAATACAAAAAGATAAAATCCCCATGAGGCATAATCTCACTCCAGTTAGAATGGTTTTTATCTAAAGGTCAAAAAATAACAAATACTAGAAAGGATGAGGAGAAAGGGGAACTCATACACTGTTAGTGGGAATGTAAATTACTTCAGCTATTGTGAAAACAGTATAGTGGTTCCTCAAAAATCTAAAAATAGAACTATCGTCTGATCCAGCAACTCCATTATTATGTAAGTATCCAAAGGAAAAGAAATCAGCATATCAAAGGGATACATGCACCCCATGTTTACTGCAGCACTATTCATAATAGCCAGGGTATGGAATCAACCCGTGTCCATCAGCAGAGGAATGGATAAAGCAAATGCAGTATATATATATATACATAATGGAATACTATTTAGCCATAAAAAGAATGAAATTCTATCATTTGCAGCAACATAGATGAGCTTGAAGAACATTATGTTAAGTGAAATGAGCCAGGCACAGAAAGATAAATACTGCATGTTCTCATTCATATGTAGAAGCTAAAAAAAGTGTTGATCTCATGGAGGTAGAGAGTAAAATAGTGGTTAATAGAGGTGGACAGGTAAGGGGAGAGAGGAATAACTGAAGATTGGTGAATGAATACAAAAGTATGGCAGGATAGGACTAATACATTCTAGTGTTCTATAGTACTATGGGGTGACTGTAATTAATAATTTATTATACATTTTCAAATAGCAAGAAAAACAGATTTTGAATGTGCCCAACACAAATAAATGATCAGTGTTTGAGGTAATTGGTATGCTAATTACTCTGATCATTACACATTATATAAATGTATGGAAATATACTGTAGTCCATAAATAGGTACAATTATGTGTTGATTTAAAAAAAATAAAACAAAGGGGGATAGAGTCTATTTGTTAGCTCTTTGTCCTACAGTTTACTATTTCTAGAATGCTACTCCCTTGGCCAGGTGTGGTTGCTCACGCCTGTAATCCCAGCAGTTTGGGAGGCCAAGGCGGGCAGATTGACTGAGGTCAGGAGTTCAAGACCAGCTGGCTAACATGGTGAAACACTGATTGTACTAAAAATATAAAAATTAGCTGGGTGTGATGGTGCATGCCTGTAGTCCTAGCTATCTGGGAGGCTGAGGCAGGAGAATCACTTGAACCCAAAAGGTGGAGGTTGCAGCAGTGAGCTGAGATCAAGCCACTGCACATTAGCATGAGTGACAGAGTGAGACTGCATTTCAAACAAAGAAAAAGAAGAAGGCTACTCCCTTTTCTCCCCACCCTGCTGCAGCCTAAATGTGTTGGTTTTCTAAAGCAATGTGATAGTTGAAAAACTATAATTCCCAGTAAATTAATTCAACAAATCTTTACTAAGCTTCTCTTATGTGTTAGGCATTTGAGATACTTTATAGAAAAAAGGGACAAAATGTCATGCCTGTTTGAAGCTTTTATTCTAGTAGGGTCAGGAGGGGTAAAAGACAGCACAAAAACAATTATGTAAAACACACACTAAATTAAATGGTAATGACTTCTATGGAGAAAAAATAAAGCAGGAAAGTCCTTCTGAGAAGGTGAGCCATGATCTCATGGAAATAACAGTGAGCCATGAAAAAAATCAGAAGGAAGAACTGCACTCCAGGCAGAAAAAAAATTGACAAGTGCAAAGGTCTTGGTGGTGCCTGCCTGGTGTGTCTGAAAAGCAACAGGCAGGCACATGGCTGGAGCACAGTGAATCAGGTAGCAGTATGGGTGGAGAAGCAGTCTTAGAGAGAACATGCTACCAGATTATTTGGGACCCATAGGTTATTGTAATGACTCTGGCTTTTACAGAAAAAGATGGGAAACCAGTGGGGGCTTTGAGTATCCAGGGATGTGATCTGTGATATTTTGACAGGATCACCCTGGCTGCTGTTGAGAATAGACTGAAGAAAGTCAAGGACAGACTCATGGAGACCTTAGGAGTCTACCGCAAAATTCCAAGTACAGACCATGGTAGATTAGAACAAGAACTTAGTAGTGGAGGTAGTAAAAACGGAAGCCCAAAGGTTATTCTCATTTCAGCTTCTAATTAGTGTCAGTTCCTCTCAGATTCCGGCATTAGATAATTGTCTTGATTTTTCAAGTTTTTCTTAATTTTCTGTTTTCATGATTGTGAGATACCATTCTGAATTAGATATTGTCCTGAATATTCAATTGTACCTAATTATGATCCTACACTTAATATGCTTAAAACATGGTAGATACTTGGTAAATTCTTACAATAAATGCATCTCAAAGGGTTTGGGTAGAATGAGGTAGATTTATCTTCACAAGCCTGTTTTCAGGACCACATTTCTTTTACTATTGCTTTTCTCTCCATTATTAGCATATATACACATACTTTAGCGACTTGTGTTCTTTAGGCTTAATTAGGAGATGGATGGTGGATTTGGATAGTTTAATTTTAATCTTGATCTAATATTCAGCCTTTCTTTTTAAGAGTTTCACTTCAGAATGTGTGTTTGTATTTGTATATACGTATGTAATAAAATCAGATATATTCAAAAGTAAAATTATTTCTCAGAAATTCATAAAATAGTTACAAAGGTAAGCTCATATAAATTCATTGAAGAACAATAAACAAATAAAGGAGATGAGCTCATGAAGAAAACTTCAAAGACAGTTTGAGAAAGTATAAGGTAAAATTATTTGCAGATAAGATATTACTTGGAAAATAATATATCACTTGAAAAACTATTACAATGAAGTGGTTCAACACAAAACACATATGTAGAAATGGAGTGCACATAAAAGCAACAAGATCTTCCCTAAGAGGATATATTGGAAGGAAAATTCACCTAAAATTACAATAAATGAGAAAACTGGGAATAAACCCACCACTGGCTACACATTAGAATCATGGCTGGAGGAACTGACAAACAAGACAATAATAATAGCATGGCAGGCCCAGGCTCTCTCGGAAGCTCTAATCAACTGGTGTAGGGTAGGTCTAGGTGATATTTTTTTAAATAAATAAGTCCCTGCATTTCAAAAATTTTTACCGAGAAATTCATCTATATGAAGAAAACTTAGACTACTATTGAGGGATATAAAAGAAGACATGAATAAAGGGGAAAACATACTAATTCTTTAGAATGACTATCATAAAAAATTAAATTCTCTCTAAAGTAGGCTATACATTTAATGATTTCATTAAAAAGGCCAACAGGGCTTTCCATTTTTGTAACTACACAAACTTATTCTAAATTTGTATGGAAAAATCAAGTGTTGCTAGGGAGAACAATTCTGAAAAAAGAAAACTATTGCAAAGGGACTAGTCCTACCAGATACTGTTTACCAGACTAATAAACAAAATAGACTGGTCTGGCTGCGTGTGGTGGTTCATGCCTGTAATCCCAGCACTTTGTGAGGCTGAGGCAGGCAGGTTTCTTGAGTTCAGGAGTTCAAGACCAGTGGGCAACATAGCGAAATCCTGTCTCTATAAAAATTTTAAAAATTAGCTGGGTTTTGTGGCATGTGCCTGCGGTCCCAGCTACTAATAAGGCTAAGGTGGGAGGATCATCTGAGCCTGTGAGATTGAGGAGAACAGTCAGCAGTGATTGTTCACTGCACTCCAGCCTGGGTGACAGGGCAAGACCCTGTCTCAAAAACAAAAAAAAGCAAAGCAAAGCAGAAACAAAAAATAGAATGGCCCAGTGGAAAATAAAGTGTTAAATGGGACTTTGGTATAGATAAAAATGGCATTGCAAATCAATGGGGGAAAAAAACATATCCAACCAAAGGTATTATATGATGAAGTGACATTTTTATCAATGGGACAAGAGACAGTTTGCTCAATTAAAGGTCAATGGGAAGGCATTAAAAAAACACCTAAAGTTAGATTTCTACTATGTTTAATACATTCCAGCTGAGTCAAAGATCCGAAGACGAAAAATAAAACTCTGAAAGAAGGTAAGTGGAGAGGGCTACTGTAAATATGATACAAAATCGCAAAAGCCACAAAGCAAAGATTTACAAATTTTTATTAACATTATTTTAAAAATGACTAATCATAATTGTATATATTTATGGGGTACAAAGATTTGTAAATGTTTACATAAAAATAGAGTTTCTATATATCAAAAAATATCAGAACAAAGTCCAAAGACAAATGACTATGACAAACTGGAAAGAAAATATTTGCAGAATCTCTTACAAAGAGCTAATACCTAAACCATGCCTGTAATACAAAAGAAAGACCAACAACCAACAGAAAAATAGGCAAAGAATAGAAATAGGAAAGGTCATGGCAAAGCAGATTCCAATGGCTGTTAAATACATGAAAATACGATCTACCTTACTCACAAGAAAAATAAAAATAGAATATTTTCATCAATTAGGTTGGAAAAGGATAAGAAGACATGCATTGATGGTGAGATTACCAGTTGGTATACCTTCTTTAGAGGTAGTTTGTAGTATCTAGTGTAATTTTGCTAAAAATAGTCTTGACTCAGTAATTTCACCTCTGGGTATCTACGGGTAAGTGGGAAAAAAAGGAAAAAGAAGCAACATGCAGAACAATGTGCACAGTATGTTACCATTTGTGAAGGGGGAAAGGAATATATACACTTTTTTATAAATTTGTGGCCAATCTCTAAAATAATGCATAAGCAAGTGGTTTCAGCACTTGCTTCTTGGAGGGGGAACTGCATGTCAGGGAAGAGGAACAGGACAGAGTCTTCATGCTCACTGTTAACCCTTTTGTACCATTTGAAGCTTTACCCTGCTTATATATTACCTATTAAAAAAAAAAGTCATAAAATCAGGTACATCCAGAGTTTATGTCCTGTTAAATACCCCAAATATTTCCATCAAATACATCCAAACTATCCCATCCAATATAAATAACTTGTCAAGCACCATCAGATGCTCACCGCACAACTATTTTATGATTCATATTACTATTATTAAAATATTTTATATTCTCTATTATTTAAAGAAACAGAACTTTTACAGTATTTGCTTCAATCTTTTTGATACTCTCACTAAATTGTTAGAAGTTGTACAAAGGTCTACATAATAATCATTTTTGACGGCCGGGTGCGGTGGCTCATGCCTGTAATCCCAGCACCTTGGGAGGCTGAGGCGGGTGGATCCCGAGGTCAAGAGATGGAGACCATCCTGGCCAACATGGTGAAACCCCGTCTCTACAAAAATTACAAAAAATTAGCTGGGCATGGTGGCGCGTGCCTGTAATCCCAGCTACTCAGGAGGCTGAGGCAGAAGAATTGCTTGAACCCAGGAGGTGGAGGTTGTGGTGAGCTGAGATCGTGCCACTGCACTCCAGCCTGGGTAACAAGAGTGAGACTCCGTCTCAAAATAATAATAATAATAATCATTTTTGAAAATATGTAATTTTATAATCATTGGCATTTTGTATTAAAATATACTACATTCTTTAAAGTAATAAAAAATTGGTACCAAAATTGTTACATTTAAAATACATAATTACTATATTTATATGTAGCTCTAGAACATTATTTTTAAACTTTTTGTTCAAACTGCTCTTAGATTCGCATGGGTTTTAAGCCACTGGTCGACTGCATTTTCATACTTTCTTGGTTCTTTCTGCCAATCCTGATGCCACCTAAGATTTGCTATAACTTTTGAATAATTCTGTCCTATACTTTGTTTCCACTTGATAAACTGCTCTTTATTATACTGGTGGACAGAGGCAGAAACTTTAGGGTAGTTTATAATGGAACGAAGCTTCTGATCCAAAGAATAAGTAATTTCTGGAAATTTTACAGCAACGTTTGTTAATTCATCTGGATCTGAGGAAAGATCTGAAAGAAGAAAAAATTAAATATCTGTCAAAATAGTGATCTGGTAAAACTTTTTTTAGAATGTCATTATGACAGGTAATGTATTCGATTTTTAAAAAAATTTTCAATTCCTTATACTGTAATAAAATGGACAGAATAAATGGTAAAATAACATACCAGGAGTTAAACACCCTATCATATACCCAAATTTCCCTCCTTCCTACCATTGTCCAGCTATCCCATTTTTTTTCTTATCTATTCTTGATAAAAGTCAAACGTTTATCATTAGTAAGCTGGTTTAGAACAAATTCTTCCTGTTTTTGACGTCCTGCCTACTTCGACAGGCGAAATGAATATAGTAATGCTTATAGTGTACCATTTCAAGAGCCTCAAACTTTCTACGAATTCTTTATATAGACAAGTCATGTTCTTGCAACTTCACTTAGTCCCAGTTTTCTTTATATATTAGTATCTTATGCTTGGAGTGTTGAAAGTTATATGCATCAGTACTGTCCATTTGAACAAACAGCCATGGAAATAAAAACTTCTCAATCACTGCCAGCAAGAAAATAATGATAAATATTTCAGATCTATAAACATACTTTTTACATATGGTGTGGGAAGACAGGGATATAACCAGGATAGCAAGGTAATTGGAAAAACAGCAAGTCAGAGATCTTTTTTTTTTTTTTCTGAGACGGAGTTTTGCTCTTGTTTCCCAGGCTGGAGTGTAATGGCACGATCTCGGCTCACCGCAACCTCCGCCTCCTGGGTTCAGGCAATTCTCCTGCCTTAGCCTCCCGAGTAGCTGGGATTACAGGCACGCGCCACCATGCCCAGCTAATTTTCTGTATTTTTAGTAGAGACGGGGTTTCACCATGTTGACCAGGATGGTCTTGATCTCTTGACCTCGTGATCCACCTGCCTCGGCCTCCCAAAGTGCTGGGATTACAGGCGTGAGCCACTGCAAGATCTTATGACAATTAACTTCAGATAGTAAATGAACACTGTATGTTGAGGGAAATAGCTCTATGGGCCTGTTTGAGTACATTAGGCCCCTTCACAGATTTGTGACTTTGCTAGGTAACTTCAGAAGGTATGTCTTTAGGAAAGGGAAGCAATAAGTCCTAAAAAATACAGAAAAGGCTGCTTCTCCCTCTGACATTTTGATGGTCACATCAGTTTTTTTGGTAGAACATGGTATAAAAAACAAAATTTCAACAAATTTAAAGATCAAATTGGCTTTTATTTAGTGATTCATGAATTGGGCAGCATCCCATCTAAAGATTTAGAAAAGGCATTCTGATGAGCTGAGTGGTGGTGGGGGGTGCTTCATAGGCAGAAAATGGCTGATGAAAAAGCCCCAGAAAAATGGAAGAAAAAGCAGATTTGTTATTATAGTGGTACTTCTTTATCCACTAAAAACAGAGGGGACTTTCAGGTCCCCTGGTTCAGGTAAACTGAGACCTTTTGATTTGTTATTATGATTCTTTCTTGTGTTTTTTTTAAGTGGCCTGTTCTAAAGTTCAGTTTGTTTATGAGGCACCTACTGCCAGTGACCCCATTCTAGTTTGATCTGGTCTGTTGGCCCTGGTATAGAAACTCAGTTCAAAACAATGGCCTCCCATAAATTTCATTTGACAATGGCCAATGAACAAGCAAGCAATGCCCATTACTTGTCAGGATGAAAATGTAAAGACTTCCTTTTCTTTATTTTCATTTTTATTTTTTTATTTTTAATTAGAGACAGGGTTTCACCATGTTGGTCAGGCTGCTCTTGAACTCCTGACCTCAGGTGATCCGCCTGCCTCAGCTTCCCATAGTGCTGGGATTACAGGTATGAGCCACCACGCCTGGCAAGACTTCCTTTCAACCCAAGAAAGTGAAGGGGGTTGGCTAGTCTGGCCTTTAAAGCATTATTTTAATAATAATTTTGCTATTTGTAACTGGGAAGGCGCCTTAGGGAGAAATGAATATTACTAATAGCTTTGGCATATATTTTATGTACTAAATGGGAACAAAGAATAAGTAAAACCCTAAATCTAATAATGTATTTAAAAATTAATTCATAGAGTAGTGAAGCGGGCAGACATTTTTATAAAGTGTAAGTACCATCACTTTTGCAGTCACACCTTTGTTGAAATCTCAGTTCTGCTACTTCTTAGCTGTGCGACCTCACACAGGTATCCAAATTTCTCTGACTCATAGTCTCCTCTATAAAATGAGAATAATGGTGCTATCTTGTGGGGTTGTGGTAAACATTAAATAGTACATGTAAAATGTCAGGCTTCATAAGATAGGTGTTAATCCTTCAGAATAATGAGGCACAATGTTGGGAAAGATAGTCATGAGTACTGAAAGACACCCTTATCAGGGAAAACTGGTTTCAGTCATGAGACCCAGATCAAAAGCCTTAGGACACTTTCTCTGAGATTCAGCTGCTGATCTGCAAAGAAGCTGTTCCTCACATGGCAAACTTTTGTAGATTGTCTCAGCATGAGAAGTAGCAGATATTCATTTATTTAACAAGGATTATTGGATATCTTGAGCAATGTTACATAGGGCAGTTCATTACACATAATATTACACTTAAAATATATTAACAGATTTACCAAAGAGTTGAGGCAATACTGAAGTGCCATCTGAGTAGGCTATATACTTCCAGTGGTTAGTTCGAAGCATGTAAGTGGAAGCATTCACATTACACCCATGGAATTCACTCAGAATCCAGGGTGGATGTAGGTTTTTGACTTCATGTTCATTCATAAATGTTTCTGATGATAATGGCAACAATGAGTATCCACTCAGGTTCTGAGGCAGAGGAATTCCAGCAATATCTATGTAACAAAAGTAACAAAATATTTTTTAAAAGCTCATTCTTTTATTAGCTGAACACTCACAAATGACATCTTTCACATTTTTTCATACCATTAAGTGCCATGGAGACCAGATTGCATATGTAATTTGTAAACAGATTATCAAGATTCACATGCTTATTCCACAGGCCATGTGAATTTGAGCAAGTCATTTACTTATCTCAACCTCAGTTTCCTCATCTGTAAGAAAGGGGTGGCCATAGTACTTGTATTTATTAGGTTCATGATGGATTTAAATAGGATACTTTGTGTAAAATTCTGAGAACTCTGAGAATAATGCCTGGTAGATAGGAGCCTTCAACAAATAGTAGTTAATATCACTAGTCCTTTTTTCTCTGAATGATTAAATAATCACTTGTTTCTCCAAGTTTCTTCCATGAGCTATTAACAAGACTTACACAAGAAAGGGGTTTAGTAATTACATATGTTTGCAAAATAATAGTTAAACAAAATTAGATACATAAATTTGTTGTTGATGTAAATTTGCTGCTGATGTATATGATAAACCTTCAGGAGTGGTATATAGTATACCATATGCACCAAAGTTATTTGATAACTGAGCTTTTTGAACTCTCAAGTAGCATATCGAGGGACTAGCATTTTTAAAAACACACTTTCAGGAATTGTGGATTATATTTATAAAAGGAAACTAATTTTTAACTTATCCAATATAGACATATAAAACAATAGCATGAGAAATGTCCAACTGAAAAATAGCTTGTATTTTAAAAATTGCTTTCAAGGTACTTGGACCTCAAGCTTCCCTCTTCCTATAGAAAACTTACTATTAATTATGTCTCGGTAATCAGGGTTGTTCCAAAATGAGTCTGTAGTTGTCTTCCTCACCCCTTTCCTGGTTTCAATGTTCATATTTTATGTATAAATATTTCCAATGAAAAACAGAATTATATCTTTAATGTTAGCAATGAAACAAAATTGAATAAGAACATTAATTCAACTTGACTCTCTTTAACAAAAACAGGTTAATTAAAGGATAATAGGGAAGTAGACAAAAACCACTATAAATCTGAAGATTATTTCATATATATATGAAATTATATATATTATTTATATATTATGTATTCATAATATATTATATATATAATATAATTTCATATATAACTTTAAAATAGATATATATTATTTCATATGTAACTTTAAAAAATTGTATCTTCCATTTTCCTTGGAAGAGGACTATCACAAGTATTAATTTTCTGCCAACCAAAATTAGTGGCTTTTTTGGTTCACAAATAGGAAAGAAAGGAGAGAGAAGTATTTCAGAGATAACTGGTTAAAAACAAAAAGAGAAGAAAGAGGTTAAAGAGGAGGCGCCCGAGAGAAAATGGTTGCCTGGGTGAAACTAGCTGTGCTCCAAGACAGAAAGACTAGTTACTGTAAGCAGTGGAAAGAAGGCTGCGGGGGAGGAGGCTGGGTAAGCGTGATCTGTGTGTGGGCCACCAGGAGGCACCACCAGCGAGGCACGGGAGGAGAGAGTAGCCCTTAAGGAAGGCTGGGGGGCAGGAACACTGGCACATACTCATGGCTATGGGACATTCTTGTATTCAGCATTTTAATGACCTTTAATACTTAGACATACCTTACTTTAGAACCATTCTTAATTTTCCTAAGGAAGCTTGGAAGACTAAGAAACGTATGATGCTCCTGTGTTTATGAGAAGTCAGTAGTCAACTGGGATAAGAGTCCATTCAAGTGCTCATTTTTAAAATTCATTCAGCAAGCCAAGTGCTTTTCTAGTTGTAGGGAAACAATATTGGACAAGGCAGAAAAGCTCTTCTAAAGCTAACATTCTAATGTGGGCAGACAGAAACAGCTGTGTCAGATGGTGGCAGTGCAATGGAGAAGAAAGCAGGGTAAGGGAGATAGAGAGTGATGGCAGGCATGTGGGATGTGCTGTGTTATACAGGGTGGTCAGGGAAAGCCTCTCTGAGAAGGTCACATTTAGACAGTGTCCTGAGGAAAGGCTAGAGTGAGCCCTACAGTTATCTGAGGAGAGGGCATTCCTCCAGGGGAATAGGAAGTGTACAGTCCCCAAGGCAGGAACCTATTTGGTTTATTCCCCAAACACCAAGCAGGCCTGTTTGGCTGGAGCAGATTAAATAAGGGATAAAATAAGAGATGAGTTGGGGAAGAGAAGAGATCATGTTGGACTCTCAAAGCCCAATTAAAGACTCTGAATTTTTACTCTAGGTGAAACGGGAAATCAGTAGAGGGTTTTGAGGAGAGAAGTATGACAGTCTGACACTAACTACAGAATGGTGAATTGACTAACAGTGGATAAGGGCAGAGCGTCAGAGACAGTTAGGAAGCTATTGCAGGAATCCAAGAGATAATGAGAACTTAGGATTCCAGTCTATTATTGATAGAATAAAATATCTTTGAAAATTGATAAACACCCTGTTAAATATCCATAATGTTTAATAAATACTTCAGGTATTTATTAGTTTTTCTGTGCCTCAGAAAATTGGGTTTTCATTATTCCTATAGTTATCAATAATTTCCTTAAAAGCACTTTAGCTTAGACTGCTTTTCAAAGAGCTGTTTGATTTTTTGTTTAAAATCATTTTTCATATTTATTTCTCCTGGTAAATCTGTTACTCTGACTCCACTTTGAGCAAGTTTCATCTTTTGCAGCAGTATAAGCAAAGACCACAAGTAACTACAGGGTTCTCAAGAAAGAGTGACTTAAATGTAAAACAAGTAAACAAATAATAAAAATGCAGACCTGGATATGTGTGATGATCTCCTGAAGAGAGATGACATTATAATTCTTCCTGACAATATCACTACCTAAGGGATTCAATTGGTATGGCAATGACGCAAACTAATATACACATTTTTTAGAGCATACCTAAGAAGAATGAAACACATTCACGATAACCATATCTCACATTTAATTGTTTACCATGTTCCAGACATTGTTCTGAGCTATGAAATAGCCACGATTATCCCCCCCGGCTTTTTTTTTTTTTTTGCCAGTTTGAGCTTATGAGGTTGCTCAGGTTAGCCTTGAACTGATGACCTCGCCTTCGCGAGCGCCATGACCTCCGGCGGGAGCCACTTTGGACCCCCGTCGCCCCCCGGCTTTTTTTTTCTTTTTGAGACAGAGTCTCACTCTGTCACCCAGGCTATAGTGTAATGGCACAATCTTGCCTCACTTCAACCTCTGTCTCCCAGGTTCAAGCGATTTTCCTGCCTCAGCTTCCTGAGTAGCTGGGATAATACACCACACTCAGCTGATTTTTGTACAGAGATAGGTTTCACCATGTTGGCCAGGCTGGTCTTGAACTTTTGACCTCAAATGATCTGCCCACCTGGACCTCCCAAAGTACTGGGAGTACAGGTGTGAGTCATCATGCCAGGCCTATCCCCCCTTTTTACAGATGAGAAAATTGGAAGACCAGACATGTTGAGTAACTGCCCAAGGTCACCCAGTTGGTAACGAGTGAAGAGGGGTTTGAAATTAGTCTGACCTTATAATCTCTGTATTGTTTAATGCTATACCATAAGACTTGCCTTACTGTAGTTAGTCAACTTCATAGTATTTCTCAGCCAATAAAAACATTAAGAATCTATGTAAAACACCTGCCAACCCCCAGGCTTCCACTAAGATCCTGTAACAAGAAGGGTTGTGCGACTTAAATCACTAGATATGAAATAGTCTTTTAACTATAACTGCATTTTTATATAAATACATTCTCAAAATTTTAAAAATCTAGACTTATCTTTAAAGTGGAGAAAAGCAGGTGTTTTACAGAAAGACTATTAGAAAACAATTCACATGAAAATAAGTTCAAAACAATTTTAACTACAAAATGAGACACTTTTAGTACTCACTGAGCTAAAGAATGCTGGTACTAGGTATTAGAGAAGAAAATATTTTGGGACGAAATTTTTAAGTAATAATCTCAGAAATAATATCAACTTTATTATTAATATTATAAAGAATTCCTATTCATAGATGTCATTTTTCTGCTGCTATTAGGAAATGATAATGTATTATATCATTCTAGTGATAGAATTAGTTTATCTGACCCATAAGCACAAATAAACTAAGCATATTCTTCCTGATTTATCATAAAATATTTTATTTTAAAAAGCCACTCTTAAAACAACTTCTACAAATGAGTTGTAAATTCAAACTTTTAAATAAAGCATTGTAGCATCTTAAATTTCAACAGACTCTTTAAAGTAAGGTAGGTTTACTAAAACAGGAATCCCAATTGGTTTTTCCTATTGAATAGCTTTCTATTGATGGTTTTCTGGATAACCATCTTTTATACATTTCTAAGGTCCATAGAATGGAAGGGAGGAGGAAGTATCACTTGAGGTTTTGGCTTGAGATTTTTTTTTTTTTTTGATACCAGAAGTGTTTATTTCTGTTTAACAGACATTGCAGGATTTTAATTTCACTTTTAGTTTCCAGAAGACTCAAGTATTTTAAAACTCAAATATACTATAAGCAAAGTTTATCCTTGAAAAATCAATTTCAAAACAAATTTTTCTCTTTATATAATTTTTCTTTATAAGATTCTCCTGTGTGTGTGTGTAAAGGGATTCATACAAAATAATACAGCTACAGCTAAACTAAAAAAGAAAGGACTTTGAGAGCTGTAGAATAGATACTGGCTTATATCTATTTTAAGCTTCTAATTGGTTAGAACAAAGTAAGTCCTTTGCAGATGTTTATCAAAATATGTAAAAGTTTGTTTATTAAGCAGAGGAAAGTAGAATATACTGTCTCACAGGTCTAATTTTAGAGTTAATTACTAATAGAGTAGCTTTAAACTCTTCCAGCACTGAGGAATTTTATCTTAAAAGGTTGAATGATCCATCAGATTAAACGAAGACCATCAGAATTTTCTTTGCTTTGTTGGCTCCTAAGGCTGCTAAAAAAGGAACAGCCTGTTCCTTTAACTACCTGTTAATGCTGGTGTAACTGTAAACAGTACTCTAAAAATGTGCTAATTTAGACAGTAAATCGGATGGATACAATATCTAAAAAGCAAACAAAACAAAAAAAATCAGTTTGTACAATTTTAAAGCCCTCACTTTCTTTTTAATATATGGGGGCAATTTTCACATATTTCACTTTTTAAAATTAATTGACTATTTTTTTTTCAGCGTTTCAGATTCAGTGGGTACATGTGCAAGTTTGTTCCCTGGGTATATTAGTTGATGCTGAGGTTTGGGGTGGGAGCGATGGCATCGCCCAGGTACTGAGCACAGTGCTCAACAGTTTTTCAACCTCCGGCCCCCTTCTTCCCTCCCTCTGTCGCCCTTCTAGTAGTCAGTCCCCAGTGCTTCTTGTTGCGGTTTTTATGTCCACGAGTAACCAATGTTTAGTTCGCACTTATAAGTGAGAACATCTGGGATTTGGTTTTCTGTTACTGTGTTAATTTTGTTAGGATAATGGCCTCCAGCTCCATTCGTGTTGCTGCCATTCATTTTTTATGGCTTTGTAGTATTCCATGGTGTATATGTGCCACATTTTCTTTATTCAGTTCAACACCTAGTTTGATTCCATGCCTTTACTATTGTGAATAGTGCTGCAAGTGCATGTCTTTTCGGTAGAATGATTTATATTTTTTTGGTATAGACCCAGTAATGGGCTTCCCGGGTCCAGTGGTAGCTCTGTTTTAAGTTCTTTGAGAAATCTCCAACTGCTTCCCACACTGGCTGAACTAATTTATGTTCCTACCAATAGTGTGTAAGTGTTCTCCTAGTGTATAAGTGTTCTCCTTTCTCTGCAGCCACACCAACATCTGTCATTTTCTGACTTTTTAATAATTGCTATTCTGACTATTGTGAGATGATATCTCATTGTGGTTTTGATTTGCATTAGAATTGACTATTTTTTTCTAATCCATTACTACCAGATATTCCTGTTGTTTCGACTTCTTAACAAGGTCATAAATATCCATGGAAATAAACATATGTGTATATCTACAGGTTATTTCCTAAAATTAGGACATCTAGGTCAAAACGTATGCACATTTCTAAGAAATTTGAAACGTAATGCCACATTTGCCTACAGAACATTTGTATCAGTCTATATTCCCAGTAGCAGTATATGAGGACTATTTCTAATATAAGATTTTCTATCTCCCTTTAACCTTTGCAAACTTTATATGTGAAAGAAAAACATTTTCCGGTTTTAATGTTTTTATGACTACTGACTTTGACTCTTTAAAAATATATTGGCCATTTGCATCTATTTTCTGTTGTGAGTTGCTTATTTTTTTTATCAATCTGTTAATAAGGTATTCCTCTTTTTCTTACAGATTTATAAGAGCTCTATGAATATGAAGCCTTTATCACTTATAAAAAGATTAGTTTAAGTAAATAATTGTGTTACAGTGTTGTCTCCTGGCTCCAGCATAAAGCTCCTTCTTGTTGCATCTTTCTCTTTCTACCTTATCACTGGTTAACGTCTGGTTAACAGAATGTTTCAGTGTTTTATATAAAGACCCATCCATAGGTATTCTCCACTTGCTCTTCCCCAAGTAAAAAAATCATTGAAATATAGCTTTCTTCCTTCTGATAATAAAAATATTTATTGTGAAACACATTATAAACTCTGCTAAGCCATGAAGATGTTAATTTTACAGTTTAGAATTGGGGAGATTTATTTTTGACTTTAGTTCCTTTACTAGTCAACACATGATCTAAACGCTGTTAATAAAATATATTCTGCAGGAAAATGTGACTTGGAAGGAGTCTATTACCAAGGATCCTATGAAAAATAAAAACCTATATAAAACTATAGTTTTAGAAAATTATAATAATTGACGAATTGCAGGGAAAAAACCTACAGTTGCAGGGAATTTATATCATTTCCAGAATAGTTGGGACAGAATGTAGAGAAGTTTCTGGGACAGTATTGTCTTAGCTAGAGAAATTCTTATTAGCAAGTAACGTGAATTAGGCAGTGATAGGTAGGTGCCCTTCTAGGTAAATGCATGAGAATTTCCCCATTCTAACAAATTTTATTTAGCATTTTCTTACGTGACCTGTTAAATACAGTATAAAATCTGCCAGTTTGCTGATGACCTTTAACTTTTATGATGTCAAGAATAATGGTATCTTCTTAAGATTGTAGAGTACAAAATTTGCATTGTGGGCAAATATAAAATAATGTTTAAAGAGAAATGATTTAAACTGTGCATTTTAATTAACTAACATATATGATGACAGAAAGTCTAAGAATTGAATAGGGCTCATCGTAAACAACTCTCTAACAATATTAAACTATTTAGCTGCTAGAATCAAATAGATAAAATGCCAACTATCACTATGAAATATATTGAGGGGAAAATGGAGAATCACCCCATCTTTCCATAATCTTTTACAATACTTTTTTGCAGTTCTAGTTACTATACCTCTGGAAAACAGAATGAGGCTAAAAAGTCAAGCAAAGATGACCCAAGGAAGATTTTTTTTGGGGAATGGGGAGGGTAGGAAGAGTTCTACATGAGGAAAAATCAAGGAAGGAAAGTGTAAAGAATATAGGCATATATTGATAAAACTCTAAAGATGTTAATAACAGAGACACAAATATACATAATTATATATAAGCTTCTTTAAAAAACACAGAAATGAGGAAAAGTAATAGTGATCAGATTGAAACTAATGGAATGAGAAAGTGGCCAAGATATGGCTAAGTGTGAACATTATTTAGAGATAAAGGGAAACCAGCAGATGATGACTAAGAAACAGAAGAGATTAAAAATTCAAGAAACTGGAAATAAGTATGTTCAATTATATGAGAAGGGATGTGAAATAAAAGAGAAAAGGAAAGGACCCTGGTGTAAATGAACTCTAAACAAATTTAGTTAAATGAAGGGAAGAACTTGAGGCAGAAGGAAGGGGGTAAAAAGAACTCTGATTTCTTTGACTTTAAGATGCATCTTTCTTTCACATTTTAATATTTCTGAAATTAGAGAATGTATCTTGTGTTATTATTTTTCCTTCACCAAAATTCATGAATTGATGGAACTTTTTGCAATTGACAGTGTCTTAGAACAGAGACTAGTGTTTAAATGCTAATGAATTTAAAGTATTCTGCTGAATTAGACAGAAACTAACATAGTTAGTTCTCTATGATTTCCTTCAAATTTGATTATGTCGTTATTCTAGTATCTTCAACAAAAACTGCTAACTACCCTTATCCATATGTTGCTTTTCTAGACATATGGCTATGCTTGTCGACGTTAAGAAGCTAGTAAAGCAAATAGTACAGAACTATCTAAAGAGTCTGAAGAGGAATATGTTCATACTAGTTTCAATGTGGATAGAATAGTTCAGAAAGAAAATGCTTACATTTTAGGGAGGTGGTGGTAGAGAATCCAATGATGTACAAATCATATCTGTAAAGTTATGAAACTGAATGTCCTACATGGCTTATAGTCACATCCTGAATACAAATCTTTTGAAGGGAAAATGACTATAATAAGTGAAGGCCACAGGAACATGAAAAGCAGTCTCTTCATTCTTCAGAGTACAGTTGGACTCACAGTTAAATGAGTTGCTCAGCTTTATAAACAAGTCAGCAGGGGCTCTGACTACTAACTAAAAGACTGACTGACCTCTTCAGTTGCATTCTTCAGCATTATTACAAATAAATTGTTACAGAACTGCATTACTTACCAAGCATGGTAGGGTAAATATCCACAAGAGAAATGACATTTGATACTTGTAGGTTGGCTTTAATTCCTGGTCCCATCATCAAAAGTGGAACATGCGCACTAGCTTCATACATGCTCATTTTATAAAACTGCCGATGTTCCATGGCCAGCTCTCCATGGTCTGAGGAGTATATGACAATAGTTTTCTGAAGAAGATCTAACTGACGAAGGGCCAAAATAATTTCACCTACAACAGAAATCAAGATAAACCTATTAAGTAGCTTTCAGTTCATGTTTTATTCTCTCGCATTAAGTTTATAACAACTCTACCCTGTAAGAGTTTGTCACTATGCTTCTTAACATCTGAATATTACCTACTGTTCTCAAGTTAAGTTTCAAGTTGACAGAGTCTGTCTACGGCTTGCTCCTCAACTGACTAGGGAGGAAGAAGAAAACATAATACCCTTGGTAACTCTTGCTCAAAGCTGTTCATCTGGAGATTATGCTGGCTTCCTTTCTATGTTTCTATCAGAGAATGGGGGAAAAATCTTCCCCTTAGTGCCTTGCATGAGAAAAGAAAGATCAGTTAGATATCAGCACTTTACAGATCTCAGATGATAAAAACACTGACGTTACCTCTAACCCACAGTTTCTGTGCAACAAGAAGTGGTAAGAGCAGTCAGAACTCCTCTTCTCTGCTACTTTTTCTCCCAAATCTCTAAGCAATCACTAGATCATGCTCATAAAGTTGGCTGAGGATTATGGAAATTCCACCTTTGAAGAAGGGCTGGAAGCAGGAGAGACAGTATACAAGTTTGATTTAGCATCTTCTTAGATAGGGAATAATGAGAGAGTAAAATTCCTCTGACCAGTTCCTGACCAGTGTTCTCAAACTTCCTCCTACTGTAATTAAGAGAATCACAGGAAAGCACAGGCCAGAGGAGTCATCCCTATTTTGGCAGTTCCTGCATCTGAGTAGAAGAGTGTATATTAATTTAAAAACCTACAGATTCTGAAGTGTAGTCAGGATTGACATTCACTGCTCTATAAACTTATTCACAGCGTTGAGACCCTCTTGATTTTTCAACTAGACAACTGGAATTACTTCCTGATCGGTCTTGTCACTACTCTTTCCTCTCCTTGTACTATTCTGGTGTCTCTCTTTCTAAATTACCTAATCACTTGATTGTGTCATATCCCTGCTTACAACTTTTTCATAGCTGCCCATTGTTGAATTCTTTAGCATAACAAGCAAGGCCCCTGTCCACTCTCCACACTTAGCACCCTCAGCTACCTTTACTTTTCAGCAATCCTAACCTGCTCAGCACCCCCTAAATACACACCACATTAGTTTACACTTTCTTGCCTCTGCATATACTCTGCCATCTATGGTAAATGCCCTTTCTCCCACAGTCTACTTGACAAATTTTCATTCTTCCTTTATGAGCCAGCTCAAACATGCATTATCTCTGGCAAGGCATCGTTCCCTGCTCTTCTAGGTACAGTAAATCACTCTGTTCTTCAGGATGCCTACAACTTGTATATTACTGTAGTTACAACAACATACTGTAATTCTTAGCATGTATGCTCATTCAATAATTGTTTACCCAGTGCTTACTATGTGTCAAGCACTATGGATACAATGCTAAGCACCAAGGATGCAATGTTGAATAAGAAGGATGAAAGACTTAAATGTAAAATTTAAAACTATAAAAACCCCTAGAAGAAAATCTAGGCAATACCATTCAGGACATACACACAGGCAAAGATTTCATGACAAAATCACCAGAAGCAATTGCTACAGAAGCAAAAATTGACAAATGGAATCTAATTAAATGAAAGAGCTTCTGCACAGCAAAAGAAATTGTCATCTGAGTGAACAGCCAACCTACAGAATGGGAGAAAATTTTTGCAATCTATCCATCTGACAAAGGTTTAATATCCATGAGCTGCAAGGAAATAAAACAAACATAAAAGAAAAAACCAAACAACCCCATTTAAAAGTGGGCAAAGGACATAAATGGAACTTCTCAAAAGAAGACATTCATGGGGCCAACAAACATATTTTTAAAAAGCTCAACATCACTGATCATTAGAGAAATGTAAATCAAAACCACAATGAGACACCATCTCATGCCAGTCAGAATGATAATTATTAAGTTAAGAAACAACAGATGTTGGAGAGGTTGTGGAGAAATAGGAATGCTTTTACCCTGTTGGTGGGAATGTAAATTAGTTCAACCATTGTGGAAGACAGTGGCAATTCCTCAAAAATTTAGAACCAGAAATGCCATTTGATCAAGCAATCCCATTACTGGGTATATATACCCAAAGGGATATAAATCATTCTATTACAAAGATACATGCACACATGTGTTCACTGCAGCACTATTCACAATAGCAAAGACATGGAACCAATCCAAATGCTCATCAACAATAGACTGAATAAAGAAAATGTGGTACATATACACCATGAAATACTATGCAGCCATAAACAGGAATAAGATCAGGTTCTTTGCAGGGACATGGATAGAGGTGGAAGCTGTTATCTTCAGCAAATGAATGCAAAGCAAACACTGCATGTTCTCATTTATAAGTGGGAGCTGAACAATGAGAACACATGGACACATGGAGGGGAACAACACACACTAGGGCCTGCTGGGGAAGGGAGAGCATTAGGAAAACTAGCTAATGCAGGCAGGGCTTAATACCTAGGTGATGGGTTGATAGGTTCAGCAAATCACTATGGCACACGTTTACCTGCACATCCTGCACATGTACTCTGGAACTTAAAAATAAAAATAAAAGAATGTCTCTGCCCTCATGAAGCTTGTGTTCTTCAAGGGAGACGATGGTAAACAGATGCAATAATTAGTATCACTATGTAAACAACACGACAAGATATAAAGTAAGCAGAATGATGGAGCTGGCACACTGAGTTACAGTGGTAGGGAAAGACATCCCTGAGGAGGTAACAACTGAGCTGAGAGCTAATGACAGAATAAGCCAGTCATGTAGAAAGCAAAGTGAAGGGTGTTCTAGGCAGATGGAACAGAAAATATAAGACCCTGAGGTGGGAAAAGCCTAGAATTTCTTTAATTAATTGGTGATTTCTTAATAGTATTCAACATACTCTATGCCTGCAGTGCCAACATAGTGCCTGACAGGTAGTAGGTACTAAATGTTTGTTCACAAACCCAATGAACAGTATTAAATACTATTTGGTGATAAGAGGAGTATACATTTAAAAATTAAGATAAAATATATTCCATAAACTTTGTAACTTTAAGTAAGCAAGTTGCCACATTTTTATCTTCTCTGAAGAGACTTCAAGAGTAATATTTCCACACTCCCTACAGCAACATTCTTTCATTTTAGTAGATATGGAAGAATGAATGGCTATAAACTTTCAAATGCAATTTCTAGCATGCAAACAGGAGAACATTCTGTAACATCAGAGAATATCAATGAAAGACAATTTGACAGATATACAGGTGTATGACTGAAGAAAATTACTTAAAATCTTATTTGCATTGAGTACTGGGAAAGTCCTTATGAGTCCTTACTTTTTTTTTTTTGAGATGTAGTCTTGTTCTGTCACCCAGGCTGGAGTGCAGTGGTGCAATCTTGGCTCACTGCAACCTCTGTCTCCTGGGTTCAAGCAATTCTCCTGCCTAGCCTCCCAAGTAGCTAGGATCACAGGTGCATGCAATCACACCTGGCTAATTTTTGTATTTTTAGTAGAGACAGGGTTTTGCCATGTTGGCCAGGCTGGTCTCAAACTCCTGACCTCAGGTGATCTACCTGCCTTGACCTCCCAAAGTTCTGGGATTACCAGCATGAGCCACCACCCCTGGCCAATACATTTTTATATTTGCTATATTATAATTTGTCCATATGGCCTTTTTGCTTCTTGCTGTATACTTTTCTATTTTTACCCAATGAATTTTTTTGAACAAAAACCATTCACTTGTCACTCCCAAAGTTTACTCTGTACAGAAGAGGTGCTACCTGTAACTTCACTAGTATAATTATGCCTCATTCCTAAGTGCAGCAAGATGAATGACATTACTTTATGAAAATAACTTTTGTGATAAAACAGATTTTTAAACCAGAGTTTTTACACACTTGAACTGGAAACTTCCATAGCTCTGTAAGTGAACAGGATAAATATTCTTGAGAGTCATATAATGGAGGCAGGTTTAGTTGTGAGTTGGGTCTTGAGCTTGAATGAGGAAAAAAAAAATCAGTATGATTCTGGACCAGAATATACATGGAGAAACTTTAGTTAAACCGTGCTCTAAAGGGACTGGGGAGAAGTAATTATAAGTTTGGGGGAGTCACAGGATTCTACAAGTAAACTTTATCATCTCTAGGAAACTAAGCTGCCTTACAGTTACCCATCACACATGTAACTTTGTTTGGCTGAAAACTAATTCCTGTTTAAGGACAGTAAAGCATTTCAAGTAGATGATAGCCTTCTGTGACCCTTTCTTTATGTATGAATAAATCTGAGCATTTATGAATCTGAGAATTTATGAATAATTAAGATATAAAGAGTTTTTCATTCTCTCAATAATGCAAGTTATCCAGTTTTCATAAGTGTCAAGATTCCTATAGTTATAAGCAACTCTTGTAAGAAATATCTGAGGCTGTTCATGCAAGTCACCAAACAGCATGATCACTGATTGTTGGAAAAATATTATACTTTTTCTTCATGTAATTGCTTATTAATTATACCACCTACCAAGCATGGCATCTGTCTCAGCACACATAGCATAGTAAAATGCTCTAATATTTTTTATTTCTTTTTCTGTAAATCTTCCAGTGCAGTTTTTTGTATAAGAAGAGTAATAATCTACAGGGTGCATTTCTGACAAAGGCGACCACTTTGGGATTTTGATGTCATCATGAGACACCTAAAAAGGGGAGAAAAAACATAGTTATGCTAGCAAAATAGTACTATTTCTTTCCTCAAATTAGTATGTATGGTGAAATCAACAATGTGAAATTACTTAGAAGAGTAGAAAAGAATGTCTGGGTGGGAAGTGGTGCCTCACACCTGTAATCCCAGCACTTTGGGAGGCTGAGGTGGGAGGATCACAAGCTGCAGAGTTCCAGACCAGCCTGGCCAATATGATGAAATCCCATTGCTACTAAAAATACAAAAATTAGCCAGGCGTGGTGGCAGGCACCTGTAGTCCCAGCTACTTGGGAGGCTGAGGCAGGAGAATCACTTGAACCTGGGAGGCTGAGGTTGCAGTGAGCTGAGATCATGCCACTGCACTCCAGCCTGAGTGACAGAGTGTGACTTCATCTCAAAAAAAAAAAAAAGTCTGAAATATGTAAATAAATAGTAAATCAATACATAAATTAGGAACAGATTGTTAATACTTTCATAACAACAAAAGGTATATATCAATATCTATATACACATCATGAAATAGTGGTAAGATTTTTAAAAATTATACAGGACAATGAAAAACATGAGCTATATTAGACAGTATATACTAGTCCAGAAAAGTATCCAAGCACTTTAATATATAGTCATGTGACCAAAACTTCAGAATCAACAATGTAAGACTATGGGACTCTTTTTCTCCAATAATTCTCTAGTAAAAATCCCAATACCTAGTGAGGTAGTAAAGCACTTGTAAAAAACAAATATGACTTTTTAATACACATAAATGCTTACTTTTAGTGTTGGTAAATAAACAATTAGGACTAGATCTTTAATTCATATATATGTTTTAGTCATGTAACTTTCAAAAAGGTCAAACATTTACTTAATATTTGGTTGAAAGTAATTGAACTCATTTCATTTGGCTAGTACTAATTCCAGACAAAATTTTGAAGATGAAGCCACTTAGAACTTTTAAAGAAGATATAAAGTATCTAAAACACTGATATTATTTTCTTTAAAATGGGATGGACTAAATAGTGTTTCTGATTAGTTTAAAAAAATTTTTTTATTTCCACAGATTTTTGGGGACAAGGTGGTGCTTAGTTGTACAAATAAATTCTTTAAGGTGATTTCTGAAATTTTGGTGTACCCATCATCCAAGCAGTATACACTGTACCCAATGTGTAGTCTTTTATCCCTCACCTCCACCCACCTTCCCCTCGAACAGTCCCAAAGTCCACTGTATCATTCTTATGCCTCTGAGTCCTTATAGCTTAGCTCTCACTTATGAGTGAGAACATATGATGTTTGATTTTCCATTCCTAAGTCACTTCCCTTAGAATAATGGTCTCCAATTCCATCCAGGTTGCTGTGAATTATATTATTTCATTTCTTTTTATGGCTGAGTAGTATTTCATGGTATATATACCATAATTTCTTTATCCACTGGTTGACTGATGGGCATTTGGGCTGGTTCCATATTTTTGCAATTTTGAATTGTGCAGCTATAAACATGCATGTGCAAGTATCTTTTTCATATAATTATTTCTTTTCCTCTGAGTAGATACCACATAATGGGATTGCTGGATCAGATGGTAGCTCTACTTTTAGCTAAGGAATCTTCACTCTGTTTTCCATAATGGTTGCACTAGTTTACATTCCCACCAGCAGTGTAAAATTGTTTCCTTTCACCACATCCCACATCTCCCCCAATATCTATTTAAAAAAAATTTTTTTTTATAATGGCCATTGTTGTAGGAATAAGGTGGAATCACATTGTGGTTCTAATTTGCATTTCCCTGATCATTAGTGATGTTGAGCATTTTCTCATATATTTGTTGGCCATGTGTATATCTTTTGAGAATTGTCTATTCATGTCCCTTTTTTTTGAGATGGAGTTTTGCTCTTATTGCCCCGGCTGGAGTGCAGCGCAATGGTGTGATCTCAGCTCACTGCAACCTCCGCGTCCCGGGTTCAAACAATTCACCTGCCTCAGCCTCCTGAGTAGCTGGGATTACAGGCGCACACCACCATGTCCAGCTAATTGTTGTATTTTTAGTAGAGATGGGGTTTCACTGTGTCGGTCAGGCTGGTCTCGAACTCCTGACCTCAGGTGATCCACCTGTCTCAGTCTTCCAAAGTGCTGGGATTACAGGCATGAGCCACAGCACCTGGCCCTATTCATGTTGTTAGCCCACTTTTTGATGGGATTTTTTTTTTCTTGCTAATCTGTTTGAGTTCCTGGTAGGTTCTGGATATCAGTCCTTTGTCAGAGGTATAGCTTGTGAAGATTTTCTCACACCCTGTGGGTTGTTTACTCTGCTGCTGCTTATTATCATTTTGCTGTGCAGAAGCTTTTTAGTTGAATTAACTGATTAGTTTTTAAAGTAACTTAAAATTGATTTAAGACTACACATTTCAAAATACAGGTAGACCATGCATCATGTTGTTTGATAAGCATGAATTTCAGTTATCACAGTTTTGTTAAAAAATATCAGTCCCCTAACAAAGTTAACCTGGTAAACTTTAGTTCCCAGGGTATGTTAACTGTGAATAATTGCAAAAAGTACAAACTTTCACACTGATATGCTGCTAGCTTTTTAGTATAAATCACTGAGTATACAACAGATAATGTATGGCATTCCGTGACTAATCATGTTGTTTCTTTTAAAGTATGTCAGTGATTAGCTATCTGGTACAAGTACAGACAAGAAAGCATGTACCTGTATCCTAGTGATAAATTAATGTGACACTTTATAAAAAGAAGTAATGAAAAGAAGTCAACAAAGATGAACATACAGTAAAAAAAGGAAAAGTGACAAGGCTGGAAGTGAAATTTGAATCAAATGTAAATGAAGTTATAGAAGAAGCAGCTGACCTGGAAATGCTGACACTGCTGTCATTCCAGAGACACTAGATATGTAGCCAGAGGAACTTAGTGAGGGCACACTTACTACCATAAATGAGGAAGTTTGTGAAGGATAAAGATGTCCCACAGAAAGTGACAATGGCAAAAATTTTCACATTAAAGGAACTTGGAGATATATCATTACATTGAGAGTGCAAAAGTTAAAATGTTGGAAAGTAATGCAAATTTAGAAGGAAACAATGACAATTTGCCAAGTCTTGGAGAAGATGCTTTCTTTGTATCGTAAGTTTTATGAAGAGAAGACAAGCACTCTACAATCTACCGGTAAGTTTTTTTTTTTAACCAAAAAAATCCTCACTTTAATTCTCAATGTTTCTAGTGTTTTCATTATAGTGTACTACATAAATATTAGTTTATTTTTTCTTTTTCCAGTTTTAACCAAAAATATTCTTTAAAACATTTTTAAAATATTTAACAATTTAAATATTTTGACAAATATTTTTAAAGGTTCCAGAAAATGGTCGTTTTTCCCATTTGTGAAGGTTGTTTTATATGGTTTCAGCTTGCATGGTCATTTTCACAATCTGGTGAAATGTGCAAAGTGAGGACGGCCTACATTTCTAAGAGAATGCCTTTTAGTTTCTCTTTTTATAGACATATCATTGGCAAATGTATTCAATCCAGAAGTAGGTTTCTGACTTTTAACGCTTATGTTATTTCTTTAAAATTGTCCTTCTACTTTTTACTGAACCAGGTATTGGTCAAGTTTGAATATACAATTTTCAAATTTTTCTTTAAAAGTGATAATTAAATGAAACAATAGGTAAATACCAATAAGCCACATATATAAATTTACTTCGAGCCCACACAATGTAGTTACTTACTTTTTCAAGCCAATAAAGAGATGTGTGAAATGTTGAAGATCCAAAGTTTTCTCCAAAAGATGGTGAAGGGTAAGCGTGTGGCAAATTTAATCCCAAGTAAAGAACAAATGGTTCAGTGTAATTAATTGCTTCTTTTCTTAACCAATTCATTGCTTTGTCTGTATTCTCCCAATCCTTTTCCATCACTCTCACTTTAGTCCTATTAGGGATAAGATTAACCATGGGCCTGCCTTCTTGTCTGAGTAAGAAAGCAACATCTCTTGTCCATGCTTCTACACGATTACTGAGGGAGCAAAAAGACAGGTATAGTGTTAGGTATATTAAAAAGTTTTAAAAATGTACTAAAGCATACACTGAGAAAACGACATGGCAAAAAAATTTTAGACTCAATCTTGTAAATGTTCAGAATAACTATATTAGAGCTCAGAAAGGAAGTTATTGAGATTACAAATTAAATAATAGAAAAAAGCAAAGAATCAATTATTCACTTACGTGTTCTTAAAAACTGAGAGATTATGTAGAAGGGTTATCTTTTCTTACAGCAAGATATTTAAACAAAATGTTTCAGATTTCTAGTATTTCTCCTTATTTACTGAATTTTCTAGCATTTTCTTTTTTTCTCTTAGAAGATATTATTCCTAACCAAACCTACTATAATTTATTTTTATCGCTAAATATTTATATTTTTAAAAATATACCTACCATGTATATTTCATGTGTTGCTGACGTTTCAGTTTTTAAATTGTTTCCAGCTCTATTGTTTCTTCTTAAAAGAAAAATTTTAACCATAATCTGAGCCATCTAAGCTAATAGTGATACAAATTTCATATCCATTATAAACCAGAGATATTTTCTTTATTACTGATTTACAAGTTAAAAGATCCAATTAATCCACTTTCTCAAAAAAACAAACAAACAATTCACTTTCCCTAAATCTCTAGTCTATTTTATCAGACTTCTTGATTTTTCTCAATCCAGGTCTAAGTATATGTAGCTGACACAATTGTTTAGAAAGCAGTCCTGGGCATTTCTAGGAAGTTTGCTTTTTAAGTTTCAGTTGAGATAAATACCTCTGAAGTTCTCTATCAATTGAGAAAAGTGTTTTTAAAATCCAGGTACCAACTCACAAATAAAAAATATTTTATATTAAAACATAATACTCCACTTGAGAGAAATTGCAATCCATACAACATGACTAACAACCCATATGTAAGTTAAAATAGAAAAATTTTATGCCTTGCCTTCTGAATACAGGTAAAGAAATTTAAATAGCTATCATAAAAATTCATTTTTCTTTGTAGATATTCAATATGCTTTGATAAAAATAATGGAAAGCATATTTTCTGCAGAATTACATCTATCTAACAGATTCCAATTAATTCCAACAGATGGGAAGCCCTAAAATAGAAAGTTAGGTATTCATCACACTATCAAAACAATCTGACATTGGCTTCTTGTCTTTTGCTTAAGTCATAGTTAAAATCTTACTATATGTGACTATTAGTATTGTTGCAGAAGTGGAATTTTAGGGGTTTATAACACCAGCAGTATGATTGGGAGAACTCAGATTTTGAAAGAAGGAGGAATAGGATACTGAGATTTATATAGTATGTTTAGGAACCAAAGTGCTTTCTTTTCAGTCAGAGAGTATTACATGAGAAAATATGGCTGGGAAACTATTACAATAAGCAAGCTTTTAATACAACCTAATTAGTTGGCACTGTTTGAATTAACTCAGGTAGGACTATTGCCCTGATTGTGCTAACCGACCTAACTAGTGGACTTTACAATGTAGTCTGGACCATGAGTGGGTCTAGACCATCTCAAGGAAAGATTTTCTAACCTTGAAAGATGGCTATATTGAAACCAGCTTGCTGCATCTTTTGCCACAGCAGTGATTAAGTGTGACATCATTTACCCTTTCTGGTAATAAATTTATGCCTTCTCCCTATTTTTTAAAATTGTCTGTGTTCCTGAGATTGTTTTAACCAAGGTCCCCTTAAGGGTAAAATGGCTTGAAGAGAGTTAATTTTGGCCTACTCTAATCATTATGGCCAGATTTCGAACTTGGTTTATTTTGTCTTCTAAATAATATGTGATTTTCTCTCTTATCTTAGTGGTATCCTTTCTTGTCTTTTCATAAGTATGGGTTTGGCATGATTCCCATGACTGCTGGTATGTAAGTAGAGTTATAACAAATGATTTCAAGCATTGCTAAGGCAGCAGGACAAGATTATAGTTAAAGGTAAGAGGTTCCTTTCCCAGTGTTTTTCATTTCTTTTAGTTGAAAGAACATTAGTTGACCCATGTTCACTGTGCCTAAAGTGCAAAATAACAATGTATTTCTTTGCAACTTAGCGAGGAAAAACAAGAGTATAAAGTGATGTATTTGGTAGATGAATATACTACAGTACTTTAAAATCATTTAGCACTTTTTAATGTATTCAAAACAATAATTATAATCAACGACTCTCCATTTTACTTCCACTACTCCCTGGACCAGCAACCCTTCCTGGGCCATCATTAAGCACAATAAGAGCAGTAGATGCAGCCTAATCAGTTGGCTGCTACAAGAGCTGCAATTCTTAGTCCAGAAAGTCCCTCTTTCTGGCTCAAGGTATCTTCTAGGTCACTAAGTTCAATGACTAAAACATGGAATGAGAATATGAATATGCAACTTCCTAATCTATTACAATTATAATAATACTATTATATTTGTATTATTTTTTCTTTTATTGTATCTTTTGACGTTATATTTCTCTCTATCAGCCCCTTCTCACAAGAGTGATAGTCTCTTATTCAGGCTAAACTGTTGCACCTGGAAATCATATCTTTCAATCATATGCTCAGACCTACTTCTTTGTCTCATCATCCTAAATGTTGTCTTCACCCCCCCACCAGTAATGGCTATAACTTCTTCCAAATATAAATTTTCTGTTAACTTAACCACTGGGGATATTTTGAGCCAATTTATTTCCATTCTATTTCTATGTATTTTGTCCAGAATACCAAGAGTATGGTTTCAACCAGGACAATTGAAAAGAGCTTGTATCAATGAGGAGGATCCAAAACTAACTGTGACTCAGATATGTTATGATTCCATGGCTGTTATCAATATAAATTTACCCTGTTGCTCACAATATAAGCACAGCTATACAATGTATAGTTTCCTCTATGCTGGCATTTCTCAAAGTGTAGTACAGGGAGCTCTGAGGATTCAACAGACACTCTCAGTGAGCCCATGAGGTCAAAACTATTGTCATAATAATAGTAAGATGTTATTTACCTTTTTCATTCTCATTTTCTCATAACATACAGTGTGCAGTGGAAGAGACCACTCTAATCTATCCTCAGGTAGGAGCTCAGGTCTGGAGTGTACCTATCTCAAAGAAGATTGTTCTCTATAAACTTAGAGAGGCTTCAATGTTTCTTTATATCATGCCCCTCTTAAGTGGCCCAATGTCTACTTCAACTCTTTATAGAAATCTAAGAGGGCCTTTTCTTCTCAAAGGTATACAAATAATAATCACAGATTTCTGATAAAGACATTCATAATTAATTACACCTTGCCCTACCTCCACCAGAGGTCCAGTTCTTTATATCCTTGCTGCTTCAAGTGTGGTCCATGGACAGGCAGCATCAGCAGCTCTTGGGAGCTCCCATAGTGCCCACATGTTATGGGAGGGACCTCGTGAAAATCATAATTGGATCAAGGGGGCAGTTTCCCCCATACTGGTCTCGTGGTAGTGAACAAGTCTCATGAAATCTGATGGTTTTATAAAGGGTTTCCCCTTTTGCTTGGTTTTTATTCTCTCTTACCTGCCACCAGGTAAGACGTGCCTTTTGCCTTCCACCAAGACTGTGAGGCCTCCCAAGTCATGTGGAACTGTGAGTCCATTAATTATTTTTCTTTACAAATTACCCAGTCTTGGGTATGTCTTTATCAGCAGCATAAGAACAAACTAATACACCATCCTAGATTCACCGAATCACAAAGGGCATTTAATAAGATGCCCAAGTCATTTATATGTATATTAAGTTTTGAGATCCACAGTTTAAGAATTTTTTTCTGCAAAAATCTTCAAATTTTAGTCAGGGTAATTAAAATGAAGCTTCCACAGTAGCCTATAAATAGAATTATTCTACCTTGGTTCAATTTCAGAAAACAGGTGATAGCCAAATATCCTATCCAACAATCAGCAGTTTAATTAGTTACTTTTAACAAGAAACTTCTCACTAATACAAATGAAAAATAAAACTACTTAACACATTGTAAAGTAGTTACTACATAAATTTGTATATTTGCCATTACTGTGTGGGTTTTCTGTGCCAGTGTGCCAAATTCTACTGCTAAAACATTGGATACAATCAGTTTACAGGTAGCAAAGGATTAGTTTATATAGTAACAATTATATCTCAAAAACTATACATTAAAATTGATGATGAGAACGTGACAGTTTTCTTTCAACATGAAGTAGGAGCCTAAACGTAAACCTCAGCTTCTTAAAAGTCTACTGAACATGACTAAATATCTAAACATGACTTAGAATTCTGTGGTCTCTCTCTTTTTCTCATTGTTATTGATGGGATTGTAGCAGGTAATGTGTTTCTGATTAGTCTCATAAACAAAACACTGGAAAAATGATGATTCTGAAAAATGCCCTTGAAAATTTCTGCATCTACCTAATAAATTCTGTAAGAGAAAAAGGAATCTATATTCATTCCCATTAAATGCTCTTTTCTGGACTTGGTGTGGTGGCTCACACCTGTAATCCCAGGGCTTTGGGAAGCTGAGGTGGGAGGATTACTTGAGCCCGTGAGTTTGAGACCAGCCAGGGCAACATAATGAGATCTTGTCTCTCCCAAAAAAAAAAAAAAAAAAGAAAAAGAAAAATTTAGTTGGGCATGGTAGCATGATAGTATGTGCCTATTGTCCTAGCTACTTGGGAGGCTGAGTGAGCAGGGGGGAATCACTTATGCTCCAGAGTTTGAGGCTGCAGTGAGCTACGAGCCTGCTACTTTACTCCAGCCGAGGTGACAAAGTGAGACCTCATCTCTTTAAAAAAAAAAAAAAAAAAAAAAGCTCTTCTCTCAAATTAGACAGACACACATGATTTTTAAAAGGACTTACAAGGCTGTCATCCATCTATCCATCTTCATTACATATGATCACTCAAAAAAACACCAATCTGTTTCAAATTGGTATTCTCTAGAAATGATGTAAAAGGCATCTGTGTAGAGGTGGAACAAGAGGCCTGGGTCTGTCTTTTTTTCTATCTCTAA